GTAGTAGGCTTTTGAACCTATACAGCTTGGAGTAAGACAACATGCATGAAGAGGATGATGTGGACAAAATACTCATTTGCCTAATAATTCTGCACTCCCCGTATAAACAAAGAGTAATATACAGGAAAATAAAGAAGATATCATTTTAAAAAACATAGGTGCCATACCTGTGCGAATGTATTGAACAAAAAGCTTCTGACCACTCTTAAATGCTATTTGACAAAAAAGTCAAATATTGTGCACAATTAATGAGTATATTGTAAGTAAATTGTGGAAAACATAAAGCTGTTTACACCAGGAACGGAAAGGAAACAAATTTCACAGCAATAACGGAATAGAGCAATCATCAACCACCTCTTCTACATGGATGACATCAACCAATTGGACATGGTAGTGGTGGACAAGCAGAGGAAGATGGCATGGAAGAGCTCCAACAACTTGCTGGGCACATTAAAGCAGCTGGGCTTCGTTAGAAAGTAGAATCTGCTCATCCCCTTATACACAGCATCATTTTTGTTCCTCCAGTCCATCGTTCAGGTGAATGTCCAAGTATAGTGGTGTGAAAAAGTGTTTGCCACTTTCCTGGTTTCCAATTTTATCTGTATTTTTGTCACACTTAAATGATTCAGATCATCAAACAAATTTAATAAGAGTTGTATTGTTCAATGCATGCTCCCACGGTCTCCGTGGAACGCAAAGACTGCTGTTCGCAGCCCAGAAAAATCTAATACTGTTTATTGTGAACCCATGCTGGACTATCAGAAGAAGGTTCATTATCAGCCTGCTTCCATAACAATTGTTCCGTACTCTGAGGTTCTCATCAAGGACTTTTATGTTCCTGAAAATGATTTCTTTTTCTCGCTTGTGATCATCCGAGAACCTGTCTCTCTTCCCGCACCTGCTCCTGCTCCCAGGGCGGTTCAGACCCAGCATTCCTCTGCATTTGTTCCAGTTTTGAAGGTGGCTAGGGCCCCTGTGAATCCTGCTCTGTCTAAGCCCCAGCATCCAGAGCCTGCTGCAAGGTTTCGGCACTGCTCTGCTGTTTTTCTGTATGTCAGGGATTACTTCCTCTTTCAGAAATGTACTATATGAATATTCTTGACTTACAGTGTTAGAATAAGCAATGTGTCACTCTTTGAAACAGAAAGCATGTTTGAAGGACATGTCAGTTACAACATCGTTCTTCTCTCTGTCACACTGTGGCAGGTTACATTAGTTAGTGCTGTCAATGACTGATTAGGACAAATTGTATTTAGACAGAAATAATTGTAATATTAAAATACTACAGTGTAAACAGGAACTTAGAGAGAACAAAGTGATCATTATTAACATTATTAACATTATTAATAATGTTAATAAGAATGCGTAAATCCCAGAGAGATTATTCTGTTCAGCTTCTCCTTCAGTTTTCAGTAGGAGAAACATTTCATCACTCATCTAAATGACTTCTTTAGTACAAACATTTTA